CTGACTCATTCAAGTCGCCTGCTGTTTTAAAGGTGGGCCCTCTAGCGTTACGCTCCTGATAAGCTTAAGGGAGGACCCTGGCTGAAGCCTAATTCCACGGAGGCGGTCACTGCCATAGTAGTCATTGTCTGCGCTGTTAACCCGGATAAAGGTTCTCCTGTGCAGCGGTCCCAGGCAAAGCGACCTCAAAGAGTATAGAGGACAAGTGTCACCGGCAGGGAGATAGGGGCAGCACCCCATATAGTGACCGAGGCAAGTTGGGCAGCGCATGCAATGCACAAGTGTGAGTATGTGGCAGTAGGCTTGGCATGCAGACATTCTGGCACAGACAGCACAGGCCAGATCAATGGGGCAGAGACAAAGCAGGCCAATCAATGGGGCACAGACAAAGCAGGCCAATCAGTAAGGCACGGACAAAGCCGGCCAAGTCCTGGGACACAGACAAGTCAGGACCTTCAGAGATGTACAGGTGAGGAACTGCGCATTCCATTCTTCCGATAAAATGTACTTTTCGCTCTTCAGATAAGATGTACATAACACTTCTTCAGATTAATAGCACATAACACACTTCTGTGTAACTGTAATTAACACTCTTCTGTGTAACTGTACGTTACCTTCTTCTGTGTAACTGTACATAACACTCTTCTGTGCAGCCGTACATAACATCCTTCCGTGTAAACATACAATACGTTCTTCTGTGTAACTGTACATAGCATTCTCTGTGTAACTGTATATAGTATATTACTGTGTAACTGTACATAGCCTTCTACTGTGTAACTGTAGATAGCAGTCTTCAGTGTGACTGTACCTAGCATTCCATTGTGTAACTGTAGATAACGCACTTCAGTTAAATAGTGCCTGACACTCTGTAAATAGTGAACTTGCATATTGAGTATACCTGTAGTCAGGGAACTCACCAACTGAGTTACCTCACAAGAGGTGCTCCATTGGTCAATATGATAAAACAGAGCGCTGCAAGCAATCATCTGAACAAAACAAAAAGGGGGGGGGGGATGAGCGTAAAGGATTTCCCTGCATTTCCCTGTGTTCATTCGGCTGTGTCCTCTCCCTGCTCTTTAACTACCTTTGAACGTTTCATTTTAATTATGTGTTCGAGAAATGTATTTGTTCTACCGAACGGAGACCACCCTGGGTAGCAATCAGAATTTGGAACACTGAGTAACCACACGAAAAACCGCAACTTAATTGAGTGCTTCTAGGTGGCCACCATTCGGCATTCGAACACGAGGCGAGAACAAAGGATGGCGGCCATCTTAAATCTCTCGAACGCGGTCAGCGGGACTTACTCGTGGATTGCTTGGAACTGTTTTCGGCATGGCAATCACACGAATGTCCGGTCATTATGGAAGTCCCGTCTGACCTATTTCCACCCATAGTATCAAACCGGCGTTCGGGAGTTTTAATCTACCGAACGAGGGGAGCACTCTCATGTAACCGGCTGCAACATACCTATGGTAGTTTTCGTGTAATTCTGCGCAAATGGAGACTGGCTCTTGCTACTGATTTCATGGAACTCTAAATCGGATACCACCACATGGCGAGCCGGTCAAACTTCCACACGATGCGACACAGAAACTACTGAAAGGATTTTCGTGAAATTTGGATGTGTGACTCCCAGTATCCTCAGCTACCCATGGATGTGGTTTATTTATTTCTATGTTATGCAGAAAGTATTTTTCTAAAAATGTTGAAAATTGTAATTGTGGCAAACCTAGCCACTTCAGATTATATGGCTGTGACTTTAAAGGTTGTCCGGAACACTGCGGAACTTCAATGTTTAAATGTATTCTGCTTACTGTTCGTTAATGTATGTTTGTATTGAATTCTCATGCTAGCAGCCGAAAGCCGCTAGCATTCACGTGTTTCGTTTCACGAACAGCCACTTTACAGGCTGTTCGTGAACCAAATGAGCTACCCCCTAATAGCCCACACAGAGAGGGACGTGTGGCGCTCGTTAACCGATTGCAACAATGTTGCAATCGGTAATTAGAGGCTTTCCTCGGTGGCTGCTGTTTTGCTACCGACCACGCGGCGGTCGGCCATCTTGGATCCTTTGTCTCCCCAGCGGTGTTTGGTCATCGAGCGCGTGGAACTGAAAACGGCTACTCAACGGCGCGAACATCGCTGGACTTCCCCCATCCCCCATCGGTGTTCGGTACTTTGGGGCGAACTCAATGGCAAAGTGTATTTCGTGCGACGTTCGGTTGTTTTAGCTGGGATCTGAGCGGTATTCCCACGAACTGTGCACTCAGACCCCAGCTATCTACTGAACGTCCATTCATTTAAATAAACTGAATATTGTTAAAGTTATAGATTTAAATGTAAAATGCCGGTTCTGCTGCACGAGGTATAATCCACTTAACGGTATATTCTAGTGGGAGTATCCCTTTCTTGCAGCAGTGCTTATGGGAGAAAAGGTCTGAATGTTAAGTCCCCCTGTGATGTGACTCAGGAAACCCCTTGCATGGGGACTTGCATAAATACTGTGACCTCTGAATAAAAACCTCAGTTGACTCCCAGAACTGTGTTTGTCCGGTTACTGGGGGATTTGGGATATTGCCTTACTTTCCAGCACTTTACTTTGGATTACTTTCTTAACCAGCAGAGAAATTGGGATTTCATATTGCAGCTCCGCTACAATAATGAGCAGATAATTGAGTTTAGTATGTTGCTGAAACTCACTTATCTAGCCTGGCCCAGAGGAGGAGTCTGTTACTGTATAAATTGAATGCCTGTTGCTTCCAGTAAATCAGTCTTGTTCCAGCATTAAACCTTGGCTCATGTTTGGATTATTTGGCGATACCAGCGATTTATTACTCTGTGGATTACTTGTTGATTTTATTTTATGGTAAGAAGGGAATACTGGACGGTGATACAGTTTACTACCGTCACAATGAGTATAAGTGGTAACACTGCCAGTTGTGCCTGTAACCCTTGAGGAGTTGTGCACAGCTCTATATAGCATGCCTGTGATCTATATCATCCATTATGGTTCCCAGTAGCCTAACCTGCCAGCCACATGGGGCACAAAGCCAGGACAGCTTAAAGGGTGCAATGCGCCCAAGTCATAGCTGAGTGCCTAAAGGGTGCAATGTGCCCAAGTCATAGCTGAGTGCCTGCCATCGACGGAACTAATGCGGTAAGTCTGTAAACTGGCCGGCCCCGCCCCCACTCAACCACGCGTCGCGGGGAAGTGGATGCTCGGGGCCACCGCACTGCATGGGAAGGTAACCACCCATGCCGCGTGAGCAGTTATACCGCAAGTGTGGGTCAGGTGGGGGGTGGAAGCAGAGGATCTCGCACGGCGGAATCCAACACGTGGGACCGCCAGAGTCTTACTCCAGGGGTACCGGCGGTCGGCAATGGAAAGCGGTCGGAAGACCGTTTTCCGACGGCTGCAAAACAGACAAAAAGTGAAGGCGGCAAAGCCACCCGGAAGAGGGAGGGAGGGAGGAAAAAAAGGAAACCCCCCCAAACCCGAGAAAAAAATTATCCCCAGACAGGGGGGACCAAAACAGGAAAATGCAGAAAAGTCATAAGAGAAAATATATCCCTACAGCAAAAAAGTAGGGACAGAAAAATACAATCTAAATAAATAAATCATAACTGCAGTAGGAAGGTAAACACATTCTAAACAAATAAATCCCTGCAGCAATAAGAATGTAGATGCAGAAAAACAGAGTAAATCAATCAAGCAATCACTACAGCACTAAGTAGGTAGGTGTAGAAAATACAGTATAGCTAAATAAATAAATCACTACAGCACTAAGCAGGTAGGTGTAGAAAATACAGTATAGCTAAATCAATCAATCACTACAGCACTAAGCAGGTAGATGCAAACATACCCTCTAAACAAATAAATCAATACAGTAATAAACATATAAGTACAGTAAAATATCCACAACCACCCATATATAACAGGAGGCAGTGGTACTCTGACCTGTACTGACTGTGGAGCAGCAAAGAAAGAGGAAGTAGTTCGTTGGGAGAAGCCTTTTATAGATTCCTGATTTTTTTGTTTCTGGTGTTTTTCTCTGTGTTAATGTGCTGCTGTGGAGTTCTAGTAAAGAGAGACTTAAGCAAATATGAAGCCTCCTGTCATGCTATAAAATTGACATTTTATTATAAATAACCATGTATTGTCACTGTTAATGCCTATGAGAAATAATTGTTACTATTTTCTCAGTTCTAATAGATCTTCAACTAATTTATTATTTAAAAACGTACAATAAATCGAGCTTGGGGGGGCGTGGTTCCGGCTCCGACTAAGAGGGCCACGTAGAGAACAAGCTCCGTCTCGCCGGACCCGAATATAGCGATCACGGCAAGCAAACTAAGCTTAATGGGGCGCACTAAACGCCCAGAGCAGCCCCAGACCCCAAGGATAGCCTCCCAGGGCCCGTTGGACAGATATCTGCAGCAGCAGCCAGGGGCGAGCGGAGACTCTGGCAGCCCCAAGATGGCGGCGACATCCACTCCGGGACAGGGGATGCCAGCCCTAGACCGGATTGAGGGCTCCCTGAGGGACCTGGCAGCCTCCATGGCGACAAAAGCCGACCTACAGGTGATAACTACCACCATCCAAGACACACTGCGGACAGAGATCGCGGGGATCCACACAGAGCTCACTGCGCAGGCAGGCCGCATTACCGCGACGGAGGAAGCAACTGAGGCCCTCACGGCCCGCGTGACAGCCACTGACACCGCTGTAGCACGCCAGGGCGAGATGCTACTTTCCATGCGTCGACACCTGGAAGATGTAGACAATAGAGGTAGGAGGCGCAATATCCGGGTCCGTGGGGTACCAGAAACCGAGGGTCCAGAAAATGCTGAGGCTTTACTAACAGAATTATTCTGCTCTCTACTGCTACCATCCCCACCGCCAACTATAGAATTCGAGAGGGCACATAGGGCCTTACGGTCTAGAGCAGCTGAAGAAGGGCCGCGTGACCTGATATGCTGTCTACAATCATTCCCGGTGAAGAACTCCATCATGGCCAAGGCTCGGGAAAGACAGAATTGGCCCTTTAGGGGAGCGCAGGTTTCGCTTTATAATGATTTATCCCCCATAACGTTGGAAGCAAGGAGAGCCCTCCGCCCGGTTACAGCGACATTGCGAGACCGCAATATACCATATAAGTGGGGCTTCCCCTTTGCACTAATGGCTAGACACCAAAATAGATGGATCACCATGAAATGGCCGGATGAGGTACCACGGTTTATGGGAGAACTGGGCCTCCCCTCACAGTCGGTCCCCAACTGGATCCTGGGGACACTAGACCCGCAACCCAGACCACAGAGAGGGCCCAGACAGCGGGAGGTGAGAACTCACCCGGCCCACAACAGCGGAAGACGTGGAGACCCGACTTCCCCATAGGAGTGATCAACCTACCTACCTGCGTCCAAGACCACCGTATATCGCCCCAGGCTAACACACCCACGCCGACACCCAGCTTTTCCTGTTCACGCATCATCCCTGGAGGGCTGGACCCCAATCGCTTATCGCACGCAACCCACTTCTACCTCCTGATGTCGAGATGAACAGAACGTAAGGCACACCCACAGGTACTTTGGGTTAATGTTCTGGGACATGGAGCTTTGGGTGGGGAGATCCTGGGTTTAAGGGCACACACGGGAGCTGATACACACCTGAAGCAGGCATGCGTGCGGGTCTTTGGGCTACCCCCTGACTCTCTACCATGGTTGTTGCCCGACACGGGGTGGGCACGAGACACTTTGGGGGGGGGAGAGGGACAAAAGGGAGCAACGGTCAGCAGATACCGACAGCCTGACTGGATACTCAGCACAAACTCAAGACATCCTGGACGCAAATACGGTGACCCCCCCACGGATGAGGACACTAAATTGGGACACTTGCATTTAAGAAAGGGTATCTTTGATCCAGGGAGTTGGGGCAGAGCGGGTTGGGTAGAGGGGTAGAGGGGAATATTCCTAACTGTTAATGATGCATGCTAATATAACCTGACGCTGACTGAATCGTATTTACTGCTATTCCTAATTGTACAGGCCCATTGTTTCCTAGAGGCATCAGATAGAAATAGTTTGTAGAACACCAACCAGACCCCATTGTATCAACTGGAAGTAGCGGTCCCTCAGGGAAAACAGTGAGGACAAGCAGACTGGTATATAACCTAGACCTCAGTGCTTACAGTACCGCAGACATACAGATAACTTAAAGCCCTGACTAGTATAGGCTGCACATACCCGCTTGCATCTGCCTGCCTAATCCAAGCTACGCACCCTATTCAGCCCTCACTTGCAGATACAAACGCACTTAGGTGCGCCTTCCCCCCTCACCCCTCTTATAGGTACTGGAGAGAATAGGGACGAAATGAAGGAAGTGAGTATCGAATAAATTGCGCATGATCATGGGAGCCGGAGCTCTAGGGATAGTTATAGTTTTAAGACGAGTCAGGGTGCTTTAACCATGACACGACACCAATACTGGATCTGAGGAGGCCACCACTCCACAACCCGGTGGATATGGGAGGTTGACGTGGGGCGACCGGTGCGAATGGACGTGGGAGTGGTGTTCGCTGATGGGGGAGAAGCGAATGGGGAATGACGGGACGTTCTGGATTAAGGAAATGCTATCTTAATCGTGACACTTGTAAATATGTTAATTTGTTAATTTGATGTTAATACTTAAATGCCTTGAATATGAATACACAATACATGTTAGCTGCAGCCACTCACTCAGCTAAGATATTGGGGGTCGCGGCGGAGAGGAGAACCCCATGTATACTCTTTGACACCTTATCTGGGCGGAGCTCGAGTCACGTTCCCTAACACATACACTCGCGCTGAGGTCTGTGGCCAGGCTACGGGGTGTCTCGTCTCTTGGGCTGGTACCAGAGTGGGCGCCTGTTAGCGCTGGTCACTGTGCGAGACCTCCCCCTACCCTGTAGAGGGAGTGCGGATCTGGGACATTACCGGATTCAGAGGGGATACCTACACTAAAGGGTATACACCTCCTTTTCGATCTTAACTTTCACACAACACATCCGGCTCCATACTCGGGCACTGGGCCCCGGACTCCGGACTTGTTGCACCTGTCGCAACCCCCTATTTACGGTTCCCTCCCATACACTTAACCCTCGCCTCCCTCCACCGACCTCCCCTGCCCCTCCTCCGCACCTTGGCCCATCCTGTGCCTCGGACGCGTGGTCCCCCCTTGGGGCGGCGGAGCATTGGGAGAGACTACGGGTCCGACACTGGTCTGGAGAGGTTCCCAACATACATAGAGAAAATGACCTACCAAAGCGCACCGTTGAAGATCATCACACAGAATTGCAGAGGACTCAATATCCCTGAACGTAGGACACACCTGCTACGAGAATTGAGGAAAAAACACGTAGCGATAGCAATGCTCCAAGAAACGCATTTCAAGGAAGGATCGTCCCCAAGAATACGGAACAAGCATTATCCTAACAACTACTTCTGCAACCACCCGACGGCTCATAAATCTGGAGTGGCCATACTATTAGCCGCTGAGCTGGAGTTCAAAGAACTAGAACATTTACAGGACTCACAAGGAAGATACCTCTTCCTTAAAGGCACTATAGCAGACAGGATATACACAATAGCAACCATCTATGTGCCCAATAAAAGACAGGCCCCATTCCTCCGAAATGTGTTACAACAACTGGAGGACTTCACGGATGGGATACTATTGGTAGGAGGCGACTTCAACACTCCACTCGATCCTACACTGGACTCCTCCACAGGTCATGGTTGCCTCTCACAACATAACATTAGATCCATCCGACAGTCGTTGGAGGCCCTGAGGCTAGTGGACTGTTGGAGAACGCTTCACCCCACAGTGAAGGACTTCACCAACTTTTCCGCCCTTCACGATCGATATTCCCGTATAGACTATATCCTTACTGCTCAGGAAGGACTTTCCCACCTGCGCGGAGCTAAGATCGAGACTGGCGCCTGGTCGGACCATGGATCGGTCGAGATAGAACTGGACTCACCCCTGTACAGACCAAAGGCGTGGACCTGGAGACTTAACGAAGCTCTACTGCTAGACCCAGATACCAAGGAATAAATTCAAAAAGCACTGGAACAATACTTTAGGGAAAATGACTCCCCAGAGACCTCCCCAATATCCATATGGGAAGCCCACAAGAGTGTGATACGCGGTGAACTTATACGCATCGCCTCTCGGAAACGGAAGGCATTTATGCATGAAATGGTGGATTTGTATCACTCTATATCGACCCTGGAACGCCAACACAAACGCTCCCAGCTAAATGCAGTTTACGGAGAATTGATGGAACACAGACGAAAACTCAAAGACCTAATCTTGAAAAGGCATCTTCGAGCCGTACAACGCACAAGGAGCTTTTACTACGTACATGCCAATAAAGGAGGTAAATTCCTGGCGAAACTGCTGAAAGGCCCTTTGCCCCATAGACAAATACGCAGGATTCGCCTGGCTTCGGGGGAGATCTCCCCCTTTCCAGAGAAAATCGCAGGGGAATTTCGGGCCTTTTACGAGCTCCTCTATAATTTGTATGCGCCTAAAGAGGCCACCGAAGCCGCGAGAGAAAATGGGAAAATACAGGACTACCTATCCAACACAATCACAAACACAATCAATCAAGACTCGGCAACACAGCTGGACACACCAATCACAGTGGAGGAATTAGCCGCAGCCCTTAAGTCATCTAAAACTGGCAAGGCTCCAGGTCCGGACGGCTTCTCCACGGGATACTATAAAACTTTCTCGGGAATACTGTTGCCCTGGCTCACCAAGGCACTCAACGTGGTTGGTGAGGGGGGAGAACTGGGTGGGGAGTCCCTATCAGCCACCATTACAGTCCTACTTAAACCAGGGAAAGATCCACTCCATTGCAGCAGCTATCGACCGATTTCGCTACTAAATGTGGACGCTAAATTGTTCACGAAAACACTAGCGACCAGAATTAAACATCTCCTCCCCGATTTGATGCACGAGGACCAGACGGGATTCATCCCAGGTCGAGAAGCTAGGGATAGCACCCTACGACTTTTCTCTATCCAACACCACGCGAGGAAACTGGGGACCCGGTTGCTATTGTTATCAACAGATGCAGAAAAAGCATTTGACCGGGTCAATTGGACATATATGCTGGCAACACTGAAACGACTAGGCTGTGGCCAGAGACTCCTCACGTGGCTATCTGCCATTTATAGCAAACCGCGCGCATCAGTGCGGATCAATGGGGCTACGACCGCGGACTTCGCGATCAACAATGGGACCCGGCAGGGATGCCCACTATCACCGTTGCTGTTCGCAATGACCCTGGAGCCACTATTACAGGCAATCCGCCAAGATCCGGACATACAAGGATATAATTGGCAGGGAGTACAGCACAAAGTTGCCGCATATGCAGATGACCTCCTCTTCTTTGTCCGTAACCCTAGGATCACTATGCCGTGCCTTCTCTCCGAGTTTAACAGATTTGGCCAGATATCGGGATTTAAACTTAACATCTCGAAATGCGAGGTCCTGAATTTAACAATCCCCACAGATGAATACCGCTCTTTAGAATCGGAATTTGGGTTCCACTGGTGCCACGACAAGATGAAATATCTGGGCATCTGGGTAACCACGAACCCGGGGAATATATATCACTATAACTTTACACCCTTATTAAAGAGGATACTTGCAGACCTGTCCAAGTGGTCTCTCCCTAACATAACGTGGCATGGGAGGATTGCGGTGATTAAAATGAATATCCTCCCGAGAATCCTATACCTCATGCAAACCATACCCCTCGCACTTCCTCCAACCTTTTTCTCCACCCTGAAAACGGCGGTAATCAAATTCGTCTGGCGAGGAGGAAGATCCAGGATTAGACACGACATTATCTGCCGACCTAGAATTTGCGGAGGACTAGTGCTTCCGGATTTTAGGAAATATCATCAGGCCACGATCATGCATCGCGTACTAGATTGGCACGCAACACAGAAAATTAAACAATGGGTTGTACTCGACAGGGGCCTCATTGGACCAACGTTGGAGACGAAAATCTGGGGGGGTCCTGAAAGATCGCTCTCCCACCCTGCAGAGGAAGGATTGATCCTGCAGACAATATATGGATGGAAAACACTGAGGACTCAAGACCACGTGTCCCCTATGCCGAGCCCAATGATACCGATCACGTATAACACAGCCGTTGGGGGGGGGACTCCCCCCTGCAGCATTGCCCTTCCAGGATACTGGGGCATACATACCCATACATAAGGCACTCGAAGGCGGGAGGATGCGAGACCTCCCCTCGATGCTAGGCGATAGACCGCGGACGCCTATCCTCCAATTTAGATATCTACAACTGAAACACTTTTACGATTCATTCCCGCACAAAGATCGCTTGCATAGAGACCTCACGTGGTTTGAGGGCCTCTGCGACCGAGGCACCAACATAGAACATGCCATCTCAGCGTTATACCAACATCTTCTAACCGGAGGCACACCTACGGCTACTACATTCAAAAGGCAGTGGGAAGAACAACTAGGAATAACATTTACAACACAGCAATGGGATACGGCGTTGCTTTGGCAGCATAAGAGCTCTATGAGCTCATACTACCAAGAGATGAACTATAAGTTGATATCTTTCTGGTATAGAACACCAGTTCTTCTGCACCGCATATTCCCTTCAATTCCCCCGATGTGTTGGAGGTGCCAGGAAACACGCGGCACAGTGCTGCACATATGGTGGGAATGCAGGGTTATCATCCCATTTTGGGAAATGATTAGAGAATAAGTGACGATCATCCTGGGAGACTTACCGGAATGGAATGCGGAATTGGCATTGCTACACATCTCGACACAACCCATAAGATCATATAAGAAATCAATACTACGACACCTGCTTAATGCTGCCAAGGCCAATATTCCAGTCCACTGGAAAAAAAGGGAAATCCCGACCAAAAAAGAGTGGATCTGTAGAGTGGAAGAGATCCAAGGAGCAGAAGAAGCACATGCTATTGTAACGGGAAGAGGGACCAAGCACACGGAGATGTGGACGCCGTGGTTCCTATACATCTCTCGCTATCGAGGAGACGGAGTCACACAGGGGCCCGCGCCGGGTGCGCAGGCTGGGTCGGACAGTGCCAGAGAGACCACACCCTAAGTGGCCCGACCGCCATTGCTCCTCACCTCTTCCTTACCCCTTATCCTTGCGCACCGGGACCGAGGGGATTGGGAGTCGGGGTCGAGTGGACCGATTGTGGGATAGATAGCCAACACAACATTTCACAAGGATTCCAGGGAGGCACAACGTACATTAATAGAGGGATACTAATAAATGCACAGAGATTTGAACGGGCCCGGGAGACACGGGACACACTGTGGCTCAGATACCTGACGAGTAGCCAGGATTATGACACACCTGTGAATAAATAACACTGGATAGTTGCCAACCATATCTTCCTCATACACTAGGGTAACACTCAGGCTAAATAACACCACGATAAGTACCACACTGGGGCCAGACACGAGTATCTGGCTACCACAACTGGGTGAAGGGACTCCCGAACGCTACACGAGCTCAGCCATAGGTAACAATCAAGGGAATACCAGTGCTCTGAGTAGTGAGTACCTGTTATAAATGAAACAAAGCTCCCGTCCGTAATTGTTACACATAGAACTGTACTGTCATACAAGAATTGGATATGCTTGTCTCTCACTATGGGGTAAGAGTAACTAGATATACACCTTGGATAGTCATTGCGGACCTGCGTGTCCACTCATTTCGTAAAACAAGCTGACTCATAGGCCTGCAAGCTTGGTAGGTGGTGGATCTATTTAATTATTTAATTTTTCTGTTTGTTTGTTTTGCCTACCCCTGTTACACTTACAATGTATGCATACCTAGACCTGCGAGTCTTCAAACTGCTCTATCTGCTGACTCTCCAATTAACTGAATAAACATATTTTCAAAAAAAATAAATCGAGCTTGGTGATGGAATTACATTGTCTTCTTGTTAAAGCAAACATTACAACACAGAATGAGGACAAATGAAGCAAGATAGACTTTGTCACATTGTCATTTTAATCAGGGACACAAATACAAAAGTTCACCTTTCAGTGAAGTATTTGGTAAAATGCAAACTCTGTGTCCCTGATTGAAATGACAAACTTTGCAGATCGGTTGCCGTGTTATGTGAGCCAGCTGATTAGGCCATGGGCTTAAGGCTTACAACACATTGAGAAAAGAGGAACAAACATCTACGAAGAAGGTCAGTCACATAGTGACATTGGCAGAAACAGGGAGCACGAGAGAATGACGTAACCCGCGTTAAATAAATGGAACTTTTTAATCATGAAAAGGGAACGTAGCATTCCATTATATTGGTTCTGCATTAAAGGGATTTTTAGTACAATTTGTGTGTTCACGCTCACCTTATATAAATAAGTATAAACTTTATACTATGCTATATCTCGGCTCTTCACTAACCCTGTATATCTGGGGTACAGATCATTACTAACCCTGTATATCTGGGGTACAGGTATTTACTCACATTATATATATATATGGGATACAGCTATATACTAACCCTGTATATCTGGGATATAGCTATTTACTAACCCTGTATATCTGGGATACAGCTATTTACTAACCCGGTATATCTGGGATATAGCTAGTTACTAACCCGGTATATCTGGGATACAGCTATTTACTAACCCGGTATATCTGGGATATAGCTAGTTACTAACCCGGTATATCTGGGATACAGCTATTTACTAACCCGGTATATCTGGGATATAGCTAGTTACTAACCCTGTTTATCTGGGATACAGCTTTTTACCAACCCTGTATATCTGGGATATAGCTTTTTACCAACCCTGTATATCTGGGATACAGCTCTTTACTAACCCTGTATATCTGGGATACAGCTATTTACTAACCCTGTATATCTGGGATACAGCTCTTTACTAACCCTGTATATCTGGGATATAGCTATTTACTAACCCTGTATATCTGGGATATAGCTATTTACTAACCCTGTATATCTGGGATACAGCTTTTACTAACCCTGTATATCTGGGATACA